TAATTCTCCACAATCAGACAGTTGATTTAAATCCACGGGCTCATCCAGGAAACAAATAAGAATAATAAGCGTTCAGCCAAAACCACTAACGGCAAAGCCTAAAGTGGCACTAAACGTTCTCCTCTATGCAAATTACAGCACTGATTTATCTTTTAACACTTGAATGGAAGGCTTTTGGAAAATCTGCATCACCACCCAGGGAAACCGATCCCGCCCCTCCCAGCTGCCTCTGGACGTCCCGTAATGAGGCACAAAGACAGGGTGTAAGATACTTGCATTCTTCCCAGGGGCAACTCCAGCTGGGAGCTTGACACTAATGCAAAACCCACAGCCGAGAGACTGACATCTCCGCCAACTCTGCTAATATTAAAGCCCTTTGAAACCAGGCCCTGTTTTAATGGGCTGGATGACAGGGGAGTTGCCTCCGAAGGCTTTATACCTGGACGAGCGCAGGAGATAATTAGACCTTAGTCACAGACGCTTTTGATAGCACTTTAATAAGCCTTTATGCTTCATCGTTTTTTTTAGTGCACGATAATAATTAAAGGTGAAATCAGACTGCGGGTTGGAACGGTCAATATTTTGGCGGTGACGTCACCGAAGCATCATCGTGCAATAGTTCATGATGACGTAACGTGTTGAACAGCACATGTACTGGAGAAATACCTCTTGCATGAATGGAGAGATCTGCATTGGAGAATTTGTAATGCGCTAATAATAACTGAGATTGATTTCCAAATCTGTAAACTCCACAGTCAACATTGACATATTTGCGAGAGAAAAAGAAATGCAGGGCGGGGGGTTTGATTGGAGGACTGGAAACTATAAGCGAGCTGAGGTCAGCCGAAAAGTGCCGGTTATGATGTATTGGTTTATGTCAAGGTGTCATAACAAAGACATCTCAAACAATGTCATATTTGCATTAAAAATGTCATTACACTCTAAAAAAAAGCTGGGTTGTTTTAACCCAATTTTGGGTAAAATACGGACAAACCCAAACGTTGGGTTAAAAATGTAATTAAAAAAATTAACCCAATGGCTGGGTTTGTCCATATTTTACCCAAAATTGGGTTAAAACAACCCAGCATTTAGCGAATGACACTTAATGACAGTTGTCACAAACATGCATGATTAAGAAGGTGTCATGTCAGTCTTATGCACACCCCTTCAAGTAAAGTGTTACCCAATAAGGGTTAAAAAAAACACAAGAAGGTTATAACTGGTGTGTTTTATGTGATAGATCAAAACTGTGAAAATATTTAGGGGCTTTAGACTTTGTTTCAGGCGATTTAGCAAAAACCCATTCAAAAATCCCATAGACTTTAGGGCGAGGCATAGACATATACACTAGACGTCACCTTGGGGTTCTAAGCATGCGTCAAGACCGCCGCCATCTTGGAACAGGGGTCTTGTCATAGGAGGTAGCTAGGTGACGCTGCTATCGCTGCCTTTACTTTGAATTAGAGCCCGACCGATAAAGGATTTTAGGGTTTTAAAATCCGATATATCGGCCGATATTTTTTTTTTATTAAATATTGTTGGATTTCACACACGTGTAAAAGAAAAGCTAACTTTTCTGCACAAGATCCGTTTGATACTTTTTCTCTAGGTCTAAATGTTCACTCCTCGCAAGTATAACTTACATTTTACAATGTAGGGACTGTAACTAGAGATATGCTAGTTATAAATACAGCAATCATTACTTTATTTAGGCAGAAAAAGTTCATTGTGGTTTCCAAGCTCATTAATGTTAACGTTAGCGGTTTCCAAGCTCATTAATGTTAACGTTAACGTTAGCGGCCTTCCACTGATGATACGGCGCTTTTCCACTGCATAGTACGGTACGGTTCGGCTCAGTACGCTTCGACTCGGCGCGGAACAGTTCGGTTCGCTTTGCGTTTCCACTGCAGTAGTACCCCTTCAAAGTGTGTGGGACTGATCGTTATTTGCGCGCGCCTCTACTGCCATGACATCATCTTAAAAAAGCGCCACATTTTCAAACCCACAACACAGGAACAATGGAGACTATCGAGGGGATGGTGTTCCTGATTCTCGGTATGTGGTTGTTTTTAACTGCTAGACGGAAAAATGTGTTTAAAATGAGGCTGATGGCAGCAAAACAAAAATACTGCTAAAAAAGTGTCTCGTGTCTCGTGTCGCAAATCCAATGACGCTAGTAGTGACGATTCTGTCTGACCAATCAGTGATCTGCAGTGTTTCACGTCACATTTTAGTACCGGTACGGTACGCTTGGAACCTCAACAGACCAGGTACCATTTAAAGCGTCCTGAAGCGAACCGTACTGTACCGTACCATGCAGTGGAAAAGCACCACAAGTGAGCCGTACCGAACCGAACCGTACCGTACTATGCAGTGGAAAAGCGCCTATAGTGGCATTAGCTAACTTTAAGGTTCGCTAGTCTATGATGAGCCATAATTTAGCAATAGAAAACATCATACTGCAAATTGTAAAACATACATTTTCAATATAACAGGCCAAGGAGAGATGATTGAAGTGTGTTTCGTCCGTTTTTATTTAATTTTTTTAAATATTAATTTATCGGCCATTATAACTGCCGATACCGTTATATTGGAAAATGCCTAATATCGGCCGGCCGATATATCGGTCTGGCTCTAGTTAGAATTCATTGATGGTGGCGGACTTTTGTGCAGCGTATGATGTTCACAGATGAAATCTGAACTAGGAAGAATGTTTTTTAATTATTATTTTTTTTCTGGAATCAATGATAAATACATGTCTGACCTTTGGAACAAACCGCATTCATGATGATTTATGGTGATTTTATTTCCGTTAGACCTGTGTCAACATTGACGCTGATGCATTAAAGTGGAGGGGCTCCCCTGTTCCAAGATGGCGGCTCTATTGACGCATTCGTTCCAATGAACTGCCGTAGCCAAGGTGACGTCTAGTGTATATGTCTATGAGGGCGAGGGAACCGGGAGTGCTAAAATGCTAACTCACTTCAGTGTTTTGGCCTACAAAGTGACGTGATAACTTTGGCACTCTATTGGAGCAAGTTATTTTATTCTGAATGATGATGAAACAATCGATTTTTAAATTTTGGAATAAGGTGCACTTATGAATCCTTCACAGTAAAACCAGAAACATGCATGCATTTTGTGTTTAAACCTTATAATTGGAAGGCCCGGGCAGAAGAAATGACAGGTGCTGCATGCATTCTGGAAAAAGTTTGGCATGTGCAAAATGCAGGAAAGCATGACTCAAGAAAACCTAAATGAGACGAGCTAAATTCAGCTCTCGTATTGCACGGTTTGAAGAGCTGATCGCACACGTCGAAGCGGTCGGCACACAAGTATTTATATCGGCCTGTGTTTTGTTTCAAGTCAGATGGACTAATGGTTGCCATCTGCTGGTGAGACCCAGTGGAAGCAAAGCATGTATTTACACAAAATAAATCTCCACGGAGACAGCCAACTGCACATGAAATTACAGGTCTGAATGTACAGCACGACAGCTGAGTGTCAGAGCGAGAGGAACCGGTGTGTGTTTGTTATGGTGGTGGAGGAGGGTTCCTGTTGCTAGCCGATCGGATCCTTTGAGGCCCTTTCGAAAACGAGGATAACGTTATGCTTTCTCTGCGATTTTCACAAAGCCAGCGTGGCCAGAGTTTGACAGTGACAAAAAAGTCCTAGCGTATAATTTGTTTAGGTTCCCATGGTTGCTCCGTGACCTCAGATGTTTATGTTGGAAAGGGAAACTGACAGCTTTAGAAGCACTCGTCTGAGCGCACGAGGCATTTCGGCCTTCGAGTGTGTGATGCGCAAGCTGACGCGTCACAAACGTCTTCACTTGAAAGCGGCCATGAATCATTTACTCTGTCTCTGTTATCTTTGCACAGCTGCACTGAATGATCATGGCAGGTTGCGATCAAGCTTTTATCATCATGAAACTGCACATCTTTTCAAATTAAACATAGAATTTCAGGATGCATGCAGCAGAATTAGATTAAAAGCCTGAGACCACAATGAAAATAGAATTAAGACATGGATGTAAAAATAGAAATATTATTTTTGGAGATAATATAATTTAGAGAAATTATATATTAAAAAAATATTTTTATTTATTTCAGTAATAAAGCTATACTTAAAAATAATTAATTTACAATAATGATTGATACAATCATTACATAAATTGAATTAAAACCTGATCATTTTAGAATATTAATAAAATTAAATAAATAAAAAATATTATGGTATAAAATGAATAATACATATTTTAGATTTTTAGGTCAGTAATGAAATAAATAAATGTGTGACATTGACCGCATTCAACTCTTTTCACTCATTTAATTGATAGGAAAAATGGGAAAAAAATGTTTTAAACTATTCAAATAATGTAATATGGTGATAAAAAAAGGCTAAATAAATGTTTTGGAATCTAGCATTCCCAAATAAATTAAAACCATGGAAATTTTACGATATAAATAGAATAATAATAAAAAATGAATATTATGAATAGCTACTATTTAAGATTTCTAGCTCAGTAATAAAATACATTTGTGAAAGTGGCCACATTAACTATTTTCACTCATATAATTTATAATAGAAAAAAAAACATATATATAAAAAATATTTTCAAGCATTTCTATAATTGAATAGGCAGGGTAACTATATTAAACGATTAATTTAGAAAAGTGCGAAACAAGCATGCTCTCCAGGAGAGTCGGAGTCCACAGCCGATATCACACACACACACACACACACACACACACACACACACACACAGCAACGATGCAGATGTGTTGAAGCACATTCTGTCCACAGACACGATGGCACATCAAAGAGAAGGAACTCTTGAGTGAGTTCAGCTGAAGGGCGTGTTCAATGAGCAAACAGGCCTTTTTGACTCATACACAGGGTGGTATTTGAGGATTTATGCGTAAGAATAGTCAAATGACACAGTAAGAGCTCATCACCCGGCTGTGTCACTGTGGTTGGGGAATTTCCTCTGTAATTACCTGAGCGATCCCTCTGCACCTGGACACGACGCTGAACAAACCCACGGCTTTACTCTGACCGCTGGAATGTAAACACACTTCCTCTACAAGGCGCGAGGGCCAAACACGTCAGAGAAATCAATAAGTCACGTGATGTCAATAATTGCTAAATAAATGTGTGGTTTACTTTGAGGAAAAACAATGCAGCCATTATTTACTCACCCTCATTCCGAACCCATAAAGATAATCCTTACGACTTGAATCCATAAAATGTGGTCTCATTTGTGCATTCAAACTTAGCGTGACTAACCATTCCTGAACGCGAATGAATGAGATTTGAGAGCAGATTTTGTGATTTTCAGTCAAAACAACTTAACTTTGGGTCTCTTCCTCACTCGAAGCATCATGTTTACATATATAATATAGCAAAATTGCAAAATAGTTCCATGACTGACAGCAGAAGGTCCGGACTCCATCGCAGCTTTCATTGGCCAAGGACCACCCAAAGGCCGTCTGACTGACATGTACAGCAACCAATCACAGTTGAGTGTCATATTTAGGGGCGTGGAAGACAGGCTTTTAGAGTGCTGTGTGAAGGAACTACTTTTTAAAATACAGCATTTGATCTTATTGTCACAGCTGTAAACATTATAGCTTTCTTCTTCCATGATATGAGGGGGTTTGGCTTCACAACGGCCTTGTTAAAGAACACGCGTCTCCCGGAAATTCACAATTCAACCAATCAGACGACGACTTTGAAACTCCTGTAAAGTGCGTCAGACATTCAGTCAACGCTTGAGGCGTTGAGACTAACTTAAAAATGATGAACATCACAAGCAAAAACATTCATAATCAATGCCAATTTATTACACAGCAGAGCTGAAATGGTCCTTTTTGTATCATTTTAGAAGAAGATCCAATGTGAACATTCATCGAAAATAAATCACATGGGTTTAGATCAACGTGAGGATGAGTAAAGAGTTTTTGGGGGTAAACTAATCCTTTATTGTTCTTTCCCAAGACCACAAGAAAGAAACCAACATAAACCAAGATTCTGCGAGTAGTAAAATGACAACTCGCTCACTTTTTTTTGGCCAAACTATATTTATTACAAACCTTTCAGGCTCTTTGTGAAGCCGTACGGCCTGACATTGAGTAAATATAGGCCTACAGTAAAGACTCATTCTGTAGTCTGCATGTCCAGAAATTATGGCGTTGTTGTAACTAAGACAGGACTTGGATGACGGAATATCTCCATTGCACACAGCTGCGCATGAGTCCACACATTATATTCAAGCAGCGCGCGAACACGCTGTAATGCATCATGAGAGAGGAGTTTCCACACTCACTGGCTCATGCAAAGTTTATACACTTGGGCAATGAAAACAAACAATTAAACGAGCAAGAGTCTAATACCCTCACAGGCATGAACCTATTTTCTGGTGCTGGCTTTGCGAGGACTATTCAAAGTTTAATGTTTGCACGCATATAAATTAACGCGTTGCCTCCTGAAGTAAATAAAAATACCAGCAATTGGCCACTGCCTCTGCAGCACTGCAATTCTGGGTCTATGATTTCCTTGCGCTGTGGTCAGGCCCCTACGGTGCAAATGCAGTCCAGATGAGTTCCTGGTTCACGGTTATGAGCTAAATGAAAGGCTTCAGGACAAATTCCCTCCATCAAACTCGCCCGAAATCAAGGCCTGCTGGTGTTCCAGCCGAGCCGGTCGCATGTGCACATGTGCAGATTCAAGTCACGTGACTGTGATACATGCTTGAATTCATGTCTTTTTCGGACCCGGACCGGGTCACTAGTGTAACTATAGCAAAACAAACAGGCTTATCAGTGTTTAAGAGGGAGGAGAAAACACCTCCCCTATCTTTTGTTGTTTATGTCAAAGGTCGTGTGTCCAGTCAAATTGGACAGATGCGATGTTGACAGGTTGTGCGACATGCCCTCATCCTCTAAAACCATGAACACAACTACACAAAATGAAAGTATGATCAATGCAACATTAATTGGTTTGTACTGAACTGAACACAGTGCTTTTTATAAGATACGTTACTGGCTGCAGGAAGCATGAAAGCATAAAAATTACAAAAATACTTTCAAGAAATAATCTAGATCCTGAAGCAAAACCAGGGGAGATTCACTGCATTATTTGCAAAATACATTTTTGTAAACTTTTTAACACTTTACTTGAAGCCTTACGGTATAAAACATTATAAAGGGATCTGCATTGTAATGTAAAATTAAATTAGCAGATTACTTGAAATATGTATGTTTTATAGCTGTGCTTACAATTATTATTCAATGCATTATAAAGTGCATTACAATGCATTTGCTTCAAGTAAAGTGTTTTGTTGACGGCAAGCAGTTTTAGAAAACCAGATTATTAACCAAAAGTTATTCTCCATTATGAAAGCTGCAATCATCCTCCAATCATAATGTGGCCTGGCACACGTCAAAGCCGTATTTCCACGTGTTTGGCTGTGAATCACATGTGAAGCAGGTGATTATTATCGTTCGTGCCATCAGAGAGGACGATTCTCTGCACCGGTTCTGTGCTCTTATCTCGGTCATTAAAGCAATCTCCACACCAATTATGAATCATAAAGTCGGTGGTGTTGGCCACCTTATCTCTGGAATGCCACAGGAATGCAGGGCATCATAACATCTGCGTGTTGCCATGAGCATTCGATTGGTTTTATCTGCTAACTGAAGACCAGCATGCTCCAGTAACCAATATCATGATAGGGTGCGTCTCTCCCAACATCTGTAAAGCATACAGGCTCATTTGAAGCGTCCACGTGCCCTATAGCACAGCGCCATACTGTTACCGACCCCTTAATGAACTCAAACTGTCCGTTTTCAAATAGTTGGACATCAAGGCATTTTTACCAGCGGTGCATAACACGTTACATTTCAGAGAAACCTGCCTGCACGAGGAAAGCTGTACTTCCCACTGTCCTGCTTTATGATCCATAAGAAAGTCAAGTTGCGATTCCTTTGACGTGTGTTTAACCTCAAGACAACCCAATAAAAGGCTATATTTTCCAGGGCCAAAGTGGAGAATGATTCACACAGGATAAGTAGATGTTGCTAAAGAGCGTGTACTCCTTCAATTTTGGTGCATATAAAACTCTAGATTAGACTACAGTCATATTTTCATCTGATTTTGGCCGTAAAATATCTGATAAAAGCATGTTTATGGAGCAAATGAAAGATTTTTTGTTGTTGTTTCTGTCAACGCATACATTTTGCATTCTGCACTCTTTATTTTGGGCAACTTAATTACATGGCAATCCTCACGTTTTAAACAACGTCCCTCTAATTAAACACTTCCTAGAGCACCATGTAGTGAATGGCTCTTAATTAGCCAGACTCAATAAGCTGACTTCAGTATAAGACACCTTTACGCTAGCAAAGCATAAGGAAACACAATAGTCATTGTCTCAGTTTCAAGAGCTCATACTGTGGGACTAAACTCACACCGGCTAATTTCCTGAGCATTCAGTGTCAACTACCTGTCACATTGGTTTGAAATAAGTGCATTCACATTTACTGCTGCGTAACAAAGAGCCATCTCTAAAACACCGGCATGCTCACTGTTTTAATGGAAGTCGGTCTAGTTCGGGCCAATGCCGCTCCAATGGTAACCCTCTAAGTGCTTTCACTGCATTTAATGCGTTATAGGCGAGCAGCTCTTGTATTTTGCATTGCTTGAAGAAACATAGTAACTATTTTTTCTTTGATTATGCATTCAAAACATGGTAACACTTTACAATGAGGAAACCAACCATTATTAATCTTAATGTTAACCTCGCCATTTACAAATACATTATAGTTGTATCTGTGTCTATTATTTAATGAACAGTAAAATGCTGGGTTGTTTGAACCCAATTTTGGGTCAAATATGGACAAAAATTTAACCCAATGGCTGGGTTTGTCCATATTTGACCCAAAATTGGGTTAAAACAACCCAGCATTTTTTAGAGTATAATGTTAAAGATTATTAAATAGTGTGATGTTTAGTGCACGATATATCGGCCACCATATCGGTATCGGCCGATATTGTTCATTTTTATGTTATCGTTATCGGCCTGACAATAAAATTTGGCTGATATAATAATGAATAACACTTCAGATGCGCACTGTTCAACATGATTGATCTTAATTGTTTGAAATATGATTGGAATCAAAAAGGAAAATATAGTTAAGTGCAAAATGCGCTGTCGTATCGGCTACATGAAATTATAACGAGAACATTTTGGGAAATGGATTTTAACTGTGAGACTTTTGTTTTTGCAATCAGGCTCTCAAAAATTATATTTCGATTTATCGGCCGATATATCGGTTTTCAAATATAAAGAATTATCGGTTATCGGTGCATCCCTAGTAATAATGCATAATGCCAGACCTTATTGTAAAGTGCCACCGAAACTATTCTCTATGAGGAGGAGTGCGGTAGAAATAAATACAGAATACGAATGCTTCACGTACATCAGAAAATACCTTAGTTTAACTCTGATTAAAATATTTATTTTCCCAATAGTGAACATAAATATATCTTTATATACTTCTCCAAAATATGTGTTTTACTTTATTATAAATAAAGTTTAGTATTGGGAAAAACAAAGCGTGCGGAGACGTCAGCGGCACCCGCAGCCCTCCACGACCATGTCCTGGTAGTTTTTTAAGATCACCCGCTCGTACTCGTCCAGGTAGAGCAGGGAGACGGGACTCAGGTCCGTGGGGACGCAGCAGGCCCGGGGGATGTTGCTGTTCACCGAGTTCACCAGTGTCTGTACAATAGCGTGGTTGGTGGAGTTCAGGTGGTCCGCCAGCGGGAACGGACACTCGCCCTGGCAGTAAAAGGCGTGGTATCCCGGCGGGGCGACTATCCAGTCGTTCCACCCCACGTCGCTGAAGTCCACGTACAGGGAATGTCTCTTGCAGTTGTGCTTGTGCTTCTTCCGCTGGTTTTTGGGCCTCGCTTGCCGCTTCTCGCGAGAGTGAAGCACGTTCCCCTTGCCGTCGTGGCTGTAGGTCACCAGCAGAGGCCTCATCTGGGGCCACGTGTCCTCCCTGTCGT